CTACTACTAATACTATCGTTACTACATATATTACTACTACTACTATACCAACACAACAAATATTTTGTGTAATACTAATAACAATTGTTATGGGTAATAATAATAATAATAATAATAATATTTATAAATAACTTCACAAAAGATTATTACTGCCAAATGATTAGAGCATTTTTTTCTAAAATTTTTTTATAGCTCTCTTAGTCTCTTTCATTCCGTCGAACAATCCAGTTTTATTTTTCTGCTCTGTTTTTCTTTCTTTCTTTCTTTTTTTCTCTCCCTTTCTTCCACTCTCTCTTTTTTTCTCTCTTTTTTTCTCTCACCCTCTATATGAATCTCAATATTTATCCAAACTATACGTAAGAAGTTGTATAGTTAATATAATAAAAATTAATGTTTGGAAAAGCAGAGAGAGAGAGAGAGAGAGAGAGAGAGAGAGAGAGAGAGAGAGAGAAAGAAAAAGAGAGAAAAGAGGAGAGAGAGAGGAAGAGAGAAAAAAAGAGAGAGAGAGAGAGAGAGAGAAGAGAATGTCAGACAAACAAACAAACAAAGAAGGATACAGATAGGGAGAGAGAGAGAGGGAGAGAGAGAGAGTAAAATAAGAGGAAGAGTAAAAGAAAAAAATGTTGTACCCTAAAACATTACATAAATTCTTTGCATACCCATCTAAAAATACCGTGATGCGATACACAAAAACGCAGCCATAACTATAATAATAACAATAATATTATTTTAATAATAATAATAAATAATAATAATAAATAATAATCATATTAATTAATATTAATAATAAAATATGTGTGATAACAGTAACAATAAAAATAATATTATTTCAATAAAAATAATAATAATGAATACAATATAGCAAATACCACACGTAGATTCAGTATTAATCCGACAAGAATGAAATGTTTAGTTATATTAGTAATATGAAAAGTCCATCAATCAATATGTCTGTGTGTGTTTGTGTGTGTGTGAATGTATGTGTGTGCATGTGTGTGTGTGTGTGTGTGGTGTGTGTGTGGTGTGTGTGTGTGGTGTGTGTGTGTGTGTGTGGGAGTCATTATATATAGCTCAGATTAATATGTTACGTAAATTTCAGAAATATGTTAATAAATCTTCTTGGAGTATTTCTCTCTCTCTTTCTATGTTTACGTATGTGTGTTTGTATTTGTGTGTATGTATGTGTTTGTGTGTATGTATGTGTTTGTGTGTACGTGTATGTGTGTGTATATATGTGTGTGTGCTTTTGTATGTATGCGTGTGTTTTTGTGTGTGTGTGTGTGTTTACAATGGTTTGGCCCAAATCAACATTCAGTTGGTTGTTTGTATTAGCCAGAATTATTTGTTTAATGTGTGTTCCGTCATGTAGTGCTTATGTGTGATATTAATAATAGTAATAATAACAACAACAACAATAATAGCAATAGTAATAATAATAATAATAATAATAATAATAGCGCAAATTGCGCAACATTTAATAGCAAGGGAATAAACCAACAAAAAAAAAACCTACGAAGCCCTGTAATAAACTAGATTGTGGCTGTTGTTGTTTTCATCATCCGCGTCGTCGTGTCGTCATTATTATAGTTATAATTATTATTATTATCATTATTATTATTATTTATTACTATAATTATTATTATTATTTATTTATTACTATAATTATTATTATTTATGTCGTCGTGTCGTCATTATTATAGTTATAATTATTATCATTATTAATTATTATTATTATTTATTACTATAATTATTATTATTATTTATTACTATAATTATTATTATCATTTATTATTATTATTATCATTATTACGCAACATTCATGTTTGTATAGTTATTACTTTTAAGATCATCCAGTCGCTCTCGTAATCAGAAGGATGTTACAGTCTAAATGAATTATGATAATAATAATTACGACAAATTACAATGATAATTATCACGCCATATAATAATAATAATAATAATAATAAAAATAATAATAATTATTATTATTATTATAATTACTTATAATCTATCCCAGGTTATGACATGCATGTCCTTCTTCCTACCCTGTTCGAGTTATCAATCATCAATGTCGGATTAATCATTTTGTCGTCATGTTTTTTTTTTCTATCTTTAATTAATTTTTCACCGGTTCGTAGGTTCAAATCCGCTGGACTCCCCTAGATACCGGAAAAATTGGCTGAGGAAAATAACAACAACAACAATAACAACAACAACAACAACAATAATCAATCAATCAATCTTCGTTTTGCGTCCAGAGACCCGGTTTCCCGAGGTAGGACGTTGTTTCTTTGCCATCAACTTTTTGCGCCAAATTAGACGATCAGTTGTATCCATTTCATTTAAATTTAGAGCTTTCATGTCTTGCTCGATTGTTTGCGACCAGGACTTCTTTGGACAGCCTTTGGGACGTGTGCCAGGTACTTCAACATCTGCAAGAGAAGTTATAGTACTGTTTCCACTTCGTTTGACATGACCAAACCACAGCAGACGGTGTTGC